GCCTATGCACATAGGTTGCAGTAAGAAGCTTCATTTGTATCCTTTAATCATCAAGGGTTTGAAGTAAGGAAATTATAGGATCTGAATTGTACTTTTTACAGAATCACTCTGGCAGTTATATGAAGAGCAACTTTTAGGGAGGCAAGAGTAAGAGAAGGGCTCTTATAAGAAGCTGCCCTACTAGTCCACTTGAGAAATGACGGTGGTCTGGTCTAGAGATACAGCAGTGGGGAGGAGAGTAAAGAGATCAAGGAGCATGTATGTATGTAACTGCTCACAAGGAATGTGTTTTTTCCAAAGAGCAATAATCAGTGATATAACAATTCTATTTATTGAAAGCCTAGGTAGGATACTAGGGTCTTTCCATGTGCTATTTCATTTAATCCTCATGACACCCTCTAAAGGTGATATTATCACAAAAATTTTATGGATATGGAAACTGAGCTCACAGAAATTAAATACTGCATGCTAGAATCAGAATTATAATCCCCTTGTATTGATCTTCAAAGTATATTCTAGCTTCACTATACTAATTATATCATTAAATAATAAATTAATAATTAATTGTTATTATATAATATATAATATTATAGTATATAATTAGTATATAATATATAGTATATAATTTTACTATATAATTTTACATCAAGTACATAAATTGCCATACCTACATTTCCTGTTTTGTTCATGAGTATTTTCTGCACTATGTTGCTGAAACTCTTTCTATGTTTTGCTTTTATTATTACAGCTTCCTTGAGTCTTTCTCCCCTTAACAGCAAAGACAGAATCTTAATCCTCTTTGAAATCCTCAACTGGCAAAGCGCTTTGCACATACTAGGTGATGAATAACTATGTGTTTGATTGTGTTCTTAATATCATCCCAGCAGTGATTTAAAAACCTCCCAAAAAACTTTACTGGGATTCATCTGTTACATCAGTTAAGCTAAAAATATGTCCCGATTAAAGCAGAAACTGTGTCTTATTTATATTTGTATCCTCTCCCAGAAGTAATCCCAGACCTTAAATGTAATAGGTTTCCAATAAATCAGTTTTCAATGAATAATGGTCGCTATGCAATTAAGAATAATTCTTAGAGATGCTTCTTCTAACAATACTGTTCAGGATGTTCAAATCAATCTTACTAAGATCATAATTACATAGAAACCAGATGATTTTGAGTTTGGAAGGACTTCTTATAATTTTATATGCATTTGTATAACATCAAAGACATGTTTTATTTTCAAAATTCTACTTCTTTGGTAATAGGGAAATTTTTTTTTTTTTTTGTCTCAAAATATGGTGGGCATTTTATAAGGCAAACAAGTGAACTTTGACAGTCTTTGAAAGAGCCAAAACTACCAAGATCAAATTCAGGGGAATAGTCCCATCTTATTAATGATTCTAGCTTGCTTGTAAAGTAGAAAGGCAGTTAACGATGTTATCAGATGATTTCCTACTTTTAACTACTTTAGCTGTATAGACCTGGTTGAAGGATATCACTATTTAATTTCTTTTCTAATAACAGTGTCCAATTTGCTGTCACACCAGGAAAAAGATCTAAGGTGTTTCACTGATGTTGAACCTAGTCAATCTTTGTTTCTACATTGCCTCCCCAGATATGCACTTGAAGAGACACTTCTGGCTTTTCAGCCACCTAAATCCATACATCCGGCTACATCTTACAGAATACTATTGATGTGTCTGCAAAAAAAAAAGAGGCAAAGTATTTACAAGGTACAATAACAGCAACAAGGAACCTTGGGTGTAATAGTTAAAGAAATCTCTAATTTTGTTTGTCATTTAAAAAAATAATATAGAAATACTAGCCTTCCTGCATATTAAAAGACGTAGATGACATTAAAGATCAGTACTTCCTGTAACTTGTGATTCTCCTATCAGTCCAGGTCAACTTTTCAAATAATTTAAAAAATTAAATAAATAAGAAAAACATTTAAAAACAATAAAATATGAGCAAAAGATGATATGAAATTTATATAAGGAAAATTCTCATAAGCAGTAAAGATTTGAAAAGATATTCAACTATAATAGAAATCAAAAAATTCAATCATTTCAAAATAAAATACCATTTCAAGTATTCTATGGAGATATTTATATATCAAGAGTTAAAGGATTTGTGGATCCTGAATCTCATATTCACTGTAAATGGGAGTTTGAGTTTATAAAACCATCACAGAAAACAGTTTGGCATTATCTCATCAAGTTGAACTCCCACATACACTAAGATTCAGAAAAATCCATTCCTGGATATATATATATATGAAATTCTTACACATTTAAAGCAGGGAATTTGGACCAGGATATTCACAGCAGTACAATCTTGGAAACAAGCAAAATGCTTACTGCCAACAGACCATATGAATAAACTGGTTCCTATGCAATGGGAATATCACACAGCAGTCAAAATGAATGATCTATCTCAATATACCACAAGAAGAATGAATCTTAGCAATACACAGTTAAGTGAAAAAAAGCATCAAGAGATTATATGTCATGTTCAAAACAATTTTTCATTTAAATTTATTTATTAAAAACTGAAGTTGAGCTAAAATGACATTCAAAGAAAAGCTACAAAATAATTTTAAAAGAATGCAGAATGGTGGTTACTTTGGATGGTGAAGATAGGAAACTAAGATGAAAGAAACCACATAGAATAAAAGTTGTTGTCAAGGTTGTGCTATTTGGCAATTTAACTGATATGTTTATTATGTAATAGCAAGTGAATGAATAAATGGATGGGTGGATTATAAGAAGGTTATATGTGGACCTACAATGAGAGTATGTCATGAAATAATTATTAATTCAGAATCCAGTTCTGTGCACTAGAGTCTTTTTTCAAATAAATACATTTAAAGGGTCTAGAGAATAATACACAAATGCAAACTGATGATATATCTTTTCATCTAAAAGAAAATTAACAGCTCAGTGAAGTATTATCTAAATATCTACCAAGTTACTAACAGTCTATATCTAGATTTTATAGTGCCTATTTCAGAAAACACCAAATGCATTTTGCATATTCTTGCCCTAAATAAAATGGCACTAGTACATTTTTTTGGTTAAACTGAGAGTGTAAGAAAGTAAATTTGAGTTCTTGGTTCTATGGTTTCTTGTTTTCTCAAGGGCATCTTTCTTTCAGTTAGCCCTTCCCTCAACTTTAATTAAATTATCTTCACTTTCACATGTAAACTTCTAAAAAACAAACATACCAAAAAAAACCACAAGAAACTACATGTACCGCCACTAATTCTTCCTTTTTATACACTCCATCATCTATTGTAATCTGAGTTTCATGCTGGCGATCTACTAAAATTCTTTTTGTCAATATCATTAGTTTTACCTACCTATAGCACTGTTCCCCAAAACTTTAAAAAATAATCTTATTTCTCTTATTTATAAAAAGCTCTTTTGATTCTACTTCTACATCCACTTACCAACCATTTCTCTCTTCCCCTGTACAAATGACCAAAAGAAAACTGCCCCCACTCTCTCTTGAACCCACCCATGACACCACCCATCACACCCAACACACCACCAAAGCTGCTTTTGTCAAAATCACTAACATTATAGATATTACTAAATCTAGTGGTCGATTTTATATTCTTATCTTTATTAACCTGTCAGGAGAACTAGATGTGATTGACCAATTCTGTCTCCTCTTTGAAAAAAAAAGAAAAGAAAATTTTAAATTAACATCCAGAATGCACACTGTCTTTGAGGTTTTCCTCCTACCTCAAAGTCCATGCCTTCTTAGCTTTCCTCTTCTTTCTCAGCCTCGTAACATTGGAGATTTGGGAGCTCAATATTTGTACCTCTTTTCTATAATCTTAATTTCTTAG